CACACACACACACACACACACACACACACACATGCGCACACACACACACGCACGCACACACACACACAACAGGGACTTACTGTTCTCTGGACATTTTTTCCAAGTATCTGTCAACTTTTTACAGCAGTAAAACTAAATCATAAACTCAGAACTTTGCTGCTTTATTCTAAGTTTTCCCTCCTGTACACTGACTACAAGGAAGTCAAAATGGGKGGGGGGGGACTGCAGTAATCCACCATCCTGAGTCTTTGACACAGAGCGCCACCTGGTGTTTGCGCACGGAAGAAAAGCAGCAAATAAGGAAAATTATGGCATTGGGTATAATGCCATAATTAGGCATAAATATWGCTAAAATTGGATATAATCCAATCACAAACTTTAGAGGTGGGAAAATAAATCATAAAACGGGTCAAATTTTATATAAAGCAAATMAAAAGATGATCACAGATCATAGAAATCAGAATCAAATAAACCAGAAGAAACCAACATAACATAAAATGTTTAATATCAAGCTCCAGCTCATTTACTTCTCTCTGTTTTGTCYAATTACTTGTATTCCTATTTATTTGCATCAATTTTTCAATGTGTAAACATAATGATACACAAAGTTAACAGTGTTCAAAAAAGGTCAGAAACAAAGCTGGGCATCACAAGTAAAGTTCAATCCTACTGTGCTGCTAGAGATCAAACAGAAAAAAATTATTCAATCCTGGCTTAAATCTAAAAAAGAAAAACATAACACAGTACATTTTTAAATAACAGATTATCATGAAACTGAGCAAAAACTAATCTAAATACCGTTCAGGTGACTGAAAATTAGAGAAGAAATTTCTAGAAACTGATGCGCATCATTAAGAGTTTATTTTCCTCCAAACTCTTCTCTCCCATCCAAGTTCAACAGATCAAATGACCTGTGGCCCCGTCACRTTAATCCTTCCATCACTTATCTCTGGGGTCAGGACGGAGGGCAGAGCTCTGATTAAATCATTAAGTTGTATTCATTAGGACTGCAGAGGCTTTTAATTAATTAGCTCTCTGTTGTAGGACTCCAGGGTCAGGGGACTGTGTTTGATAAAGGGTTTTTTTTAAACACACACTTACACAAAGACATCACACACTCACAGTCGCCACAGAGGAATTCAGGATCTCATTCTTTTTGTACAATGATTTATCGCCAAGATGAACTGCAGCGGAGTGAGGAGAACAAAGGAGAAAAACAAAAACTTAAAAAAGTAAACCAACTAGTGAAGTTAGGACAGATAGGCACCCTGCTGATATCGGATAATAAAAAGATAAGGGTTTAGGGTAAAGGGTCAAATGAATAGAAGTCAATGCAAAGTCCCCACGAGGATAGAAACACCAACGTGTGTGTTTGTTTTTACCTGCACATTGCCGTTCTCTTGGCCCAGACCCACAGYAGAGCGCTCCTTACACAGACAGTTACTTCGGATCCTGGATGACATCTCCTCCGTCTGGAACAGCACCGATCCTGTTCTGCCATCACGCACCTGATGAAAAATATCAAGCTAACAATACGGTGTCTTGAACACACAGTAGAAGACAAATAAAACTGCTTTACATTTGTTTTTTTTAAACAATTTTTTTTTCTGCTTACCTGTAGTCTGTTGCAGTTGTCTGCAGCCGACACAATAATTTTGTCACCATTAAAAATGACGTCTGAGTCTCTCTTCAGACAGATAGCTGAAGACGTGTGGACCTTTTTGGTCTCCCATAACTACAAAACAAGATGAAACAAACGTGAACAAAATAATGACACAACATCGAATTTCATTTATCACATGCTGATTCTCCTAAATTACATATTTTCTGCATTATATTTCCTAAAATGACAAAAAAACTGTATATATATATATATAT